CTCTGGGGGGTGGGACTTTCTGCTGACTGGCCGCCTGTGCGATGCTGCAGCGCTTGCCCCGAGCCGATTGGCGAGGGAGACCGGCCAATAGGAAGGTAGGGCGCCAATTTCATACCGTGCTGAGGCAGTTGGGACGCACCGCCTCAGGGGGCGGGGGGTCGTGGAACTGGGCCGGGGGGGAGCGGTGAGGGGGCGGGCTCCTCCCCCCGGCCACCGCCCCCCGCAGCAGGGCTTGCGCTGTGGTCGTGTGTGAAGGTATTGCCGATTGGTAGCTTTTATCTCTGTAGTCTGTCTCGTTCCACTGAACTCCGTTTCTAGTTGCTCTCCAGGGGGAGGCAGCCTCAGTGCATATGTATGCCTGGAGGTCTGAGCGCCAGCAGCTGGTGTCAGGTCCCAGGTGAAAGCCCCTTTCAATGTGTGTGTGTAGTACCAGCAAATGGGAAGACTGGAGCATGTGCGGCAGCCGACCGCGGCTGGGGTAAAATGCCAGTGTGCGTGATTGCTAGTGAACGAGCCAGACTAAGGGAGCAGGATAATAGGCTTTGGATCCAGGTACTCAAGACCAGATATGGGAGAGATCAGGATCAGCAGGTTGCTTTATGGGAGGTAGGTCTAAACCAGCTTAATGGAGAAAATAAGGTGGATGTCTGGCTGGATACTGGAAGGCCATGCATCTGAATGAGCTAGCAGAGATCATTTTTTTTTCTTTAGGTAAGGAGATTTGACTAAGAGCAAGTAGAGTAGTACTGTGACCTCAGTTGCTGATATGCCCCAGTACCAGAAAATCCAGCAGCTAGCTGCTGGACAGACCAAGTGTTTAAAATCAGCTACTGAAGGGATTTGTTTGTGTATGTGTGTAAGCATATACATTCATATGAATATATTTACTAGCAGACTTCTAAACTGAGTGGTTAGATAGGAAGAAGAGAACTCGGCCAGTTGTGCCATTCACATGAGTGCTGTTTGTTTTCTGCGTTGATCTGTGTTGCTGAAAATGCATTTTCCCCTCCTGAGAGTAAATTCCCAAGCTTGCTACTGGCTGGACTTGGGTAAATGGAGATGCAGCACCCTTGCATCTGTCAAGGTACTGGACTCAGCAACTTCTACTGTTACCCATCACGGCATCCCTATCTTTGTTGCTGAATTATTTTGCTTTTTGCTCCCATTAATCTCCCACAGACTCTTTAACCTGGTACTCCAATGGCTGTTAGGTGTGTTTCTGTCAGGTAGCTAGCAATTCTGTGCTGAACTATGGTGCCAGGTACTGCTATGTAAATCATATAAAGCCTGGTTCCATCTTAATCTAAGGCTTTTACTTGTCCTGTGTTATGCAAGGACACAGCAGTCCTTACTCTGCTTGTCTGTTCTAGATGTATCCTACTCCACAGGCAGGCAGATGATAAAGTCGTTCAGACATAAAACCCTTCAGTGGGAACATTCCTGGTAGCTGCGAAAGAGGAGGGAGTGTGCTGCAGAAATTATCAGCCCCCTAGCAGGGTACAGGGCCATGGAGGTGCATTGTGCACCAGTTTTGCTGCATGTCGGTATTCCTGAGGCAAAGCACTGAAGGGGAAAGGGCACCATGAGTTATTCTCAGAGCGCTTTGAGTTTTGGGTGTGGTTTATAACGTTACTCTATAGCCCTAGACCAGAGGCAGGAGACACGAGTGGATTCTGGTTTACTTGTTCTGCTGTACAGTCTCATAAAACCCGAAGTTCCTGTTTTCTCTGTTGGGGAAGAGTAACATGCTTGTTAGATGTATAGAGATTTCACCTTTCCTGCTTTCCCCAAGTGCTGTGAGTAAACATGTGGGTCATTGACTTCCCCTCTGAAAGGTATTCCCGGTAACAGCGATGTCCAGGTAGCAGTGAATCTTTTCTGTCAGCAGAATCAGACAAAAGCCTTCTGTGTGCAGAGAAAAGATTATTACAGTTCAGGACTGGCCCATGCAGAGCAGTTGCTTGCATTTTGAGAGGTATCCTGAGGTTCTCAGAGGGCCCGAGTAAGATTGGTTCAATTATTTGGTCAGCAACTGGAGAAAATGGACTGGCAGGGGGA